AATACACATATACACTATTAACAACAATTAACAATCATGTCATAATGTGTCATTACTAATTAAATGTGTCACATATATCACCTCTTAATGTAAAGTTTATTCACAAATCACAAAATAATAAACACACACACACAGTAGAGGATTATACCTTGCTGACTAGCCTCAAGGAGTGCTTCCTGCAGTGAGGTTTTATTTACTTCAAATACTCTTAACTCCTGTTGCAGTACTTGTATGTACTGCTGCTGTTGTACTTCCTTTTCTGTTGGATAGACTATAGAACAACGATCTTGCCACCATTGTCTTGTTTTAAGGAATGATTGATATTTGTGTTGATAGGCCTCTTTAGTAAGATCAGTAGAATCTAGTACTTCACTTACTGTCCATTGGCCTTTAGTGAGAACTGAGAGAGAGAGAGAGAGAGAGTGGATAAAGGTCAGACGAAGGATAGACAGAGAGTAAAGGCTAATCACATTATTAATACTAGAAGAATGTAAACTTAATGGGGATCCACCCCTAGCCACGCCCAGATGTACATGTACAAACAGAACTACTCCACCAGTACAGGCTTTACCCAATACCATATAGGGAAATTTTTGAGGGACTAAAATTTGGCAAATTGCTAAATTTTGGTGATTGGCTAAAATTTTAATTTGGCAAATTTGTGGCCATGTGCCATTGAGCATGCGTATAATGGCTCAAAATGGTTGATTGTTTTGGCGAATGGCTATCAAAACACCAAATTCACTAAAATTAATTCCCTCTAATTTTTCGTAGTATAGTAAAAGTGAGTACAGTCAAACCTCTCTAAGACGAACATCTATGGGCCAGCCATCACTGTCCTTTATACGGAGGTGTCCTTAAATCGGAGGTTATCCAATGCTAATCAGACCAGAAAATCCGCCATTTCTTGATGCGCGTTAATTAGAAAGTCCATTGCGTGGGCTGTGTCCGTCCGTTGGAGGTTAATTTGTACACGTGTAGATGTGTGGGGACAGTAAATCTCGTCCGTTATACAGAATAGAGAGGTTTGGATATACAGAGGTTCTTTTATATACTACCCAACTGGACTTATGGCCGGGACAACAGCAACTGTACGTTATAGAGAGGTGTCCGCTAATTGGGGGTTCGTTTTAGAGAGGTTTGACTGTATACCGTATAGCTCCAAAAATTTCATCAAAATCTTACTTTCTTGTTAAAATTAATCTTTGTCAATAAAATTTTTGTCTTATTTATTATAAATCTGACAAGGAGCAAAAATTTCATCAAGCAAAAATTCTTGATGAATTTGAAGAAATTTTTGACCGACAAAGAATTTGTAGCTATACAGTATCACTTAATACAATATATGTTAGTATATGAACAGTACTGGTGTATATTCATGATAGTTCAGTTCTTACCTAGTTCTATTAACATTGTGACATTAGGATCAGTGATAATTCGATCAAATCTTCCTACATCATCCCATTCAGTTGCTCCAACTCCACCCACTACCACCAACCACACACAGTCTGGACTCATCATTATTGATGATAAGGAATGAAATTTTTTACCAGCAACAGATTCAGGTAGAACAATCTGTTGATATGATATAACATAACAATACAATGACTAGTAATAAGTGATATAACATGTTACTATACACTGATACTCACATACTGACATTACATACCTTACTCCACTGGTACTGACTGGTATCAAGTAACCAACTATCATTTACTAGTTGATCATCATTACCATCTCCACCTATCATTACTAGTGTAGGTGAGTCACTGATGATACTAGTAATAGCATGAGCACGTCTCTCCACAGGCCACTGTACACTAGCAGGTACTACTGGTCCCTTAACACTCTCCCAGTACTAGATAAAGACATTAACAATAAAACATTATTAATATCATTATTTATTATTAATTATGTAATACATGTAGGTAATATACACAAGAATGATTAATTAAGCAGAAGACAGGGCATTAATTAGAATTCAATGTGATACTGTATAGGGCATAATGTTCATGGGACACAAATTTTGCGAAATCTACTAAAATTCCAATTCGAGGATTTTAATTTCGCAAATTCTACCACGTGTGCCATGCGGGTACTGCATTAAATTGATATTCACTGATTTTATTTTC